AGATGTCTCTGGCCCCGAGGTCTGATGCCAGGCGAAGTCTGGCCAGGAATGCTTCGTACTCGGCTTGGTTGTTAGTCGTCGGGAAGGCCAGCGTGAGGGAGACCTCAATGAGGGTGCCCTCGTCGTTGTCGAGGATGATGCCGGCACCGCTTCCCGTGGAGTTGGAGGATCCGTCCACGAAAATGGTCCAGATGTGGCTCCTGGTGGCGGGGTCGGGTGATGGGGTCATCTCGGCGACGAAGTCGGCCAGGGCTTGAGCCTTGATGGCGTTCCGGCCTTCGTAGACGATGTCGAACTCAGATAGTTCGAACGACCATTTCAGCATGCGTCCGGCCTTGTCGGGTCGGGCGAGGAGCTGGCGGATGGGCTGATCGGTGCGGAGCACGACGGTGTGTGCGAGAAAGTAATGTCGGAGCCGTCGCGTTGCGGTGATGAGGGCTAGGGTGACTTTCTCGATCAGCTGGTATCAGACTTCAGGGTCGTGGAGGGCTTTGCTCGTGAAGTAGATTGGTTTCTGGCCCTCCTCGGTTTCGCTGATGAGGACGGCGCTGACTGCTTCATTAGCCACAACCAGATATAGGTATAGGGTTTCGCCCACCACGGGACGTGTCAGCACCGGTGGTTCGGACAAGGCGCGTTTGAGGTGGCGGGGGGCTTGCTCGCATTCCTCTGACCATTCGAACGTGGTTTCCTTCCTGAGTAGTTTGAAGAAGGGGAGGGCGTGCTGGGCGGACTTGGCAATGAACCGGGAAAGTGAGACGAGCACGCCGTTGAGAGATTGGATGGACTTCTTAGTGGTGGGTGTGGTGATTTCTGAAAAGGCGTGGCATTTGTCCGGATTGGCCTTGATCCCACGCTCGGTCAGGTAGTAGCCGAGGAACTTGCCTGCACGGACACCGAAGGTGCACTTCTCCGAGTTGAAGCGCATTCGGCATGTCCTCGCGGTATCGAAGACCTTCCTGAGGTGGGTCGTGTGATCGTCTTCTGTGCAGGATTTGACGATCATGTTTTCCATGTATACTTCGAGCATGTCGCCGATTTCTCCCCGGAAGACGTTGTTCATCATCCGTTGGTATGTGGCTCCGACGTTCTTTAGGCCGAAGGGCATTACGTTGTAGTAATAGTTGCCCGACGCCGTCATGAAGGCCGTGCTCTGTTTATCGTGCTCGGCCATCGGGATTTGGTTGTACCCCAAGTATGCGTCCATGAAGGACAGGAGCCTGAAGCCCGCGGAGTTGTCGACGAGTTTGTCGATGTTGGGGAGGGGGTAGGCGTCCTTAGGACATGCCCGGTTGAGATCGGTATAGTCAACACACATGCGCCATTTTCCATTATTCTTTTTAACGAGTACAACATTGGACAACCAGGTTGAATACCGGGCTTCCAAAATAAAATTTGCCTCTAGGAGGTCTTTTACAGCTTTCTCGGCTGCTGCCGACTTTTTGGGGGACTGTCTACGCCTACGTTGAACTACGGCCTTCGCGGTCGGGCTGATGGACAGCTGGTGGCAGGCGACCTCGGGGTCGAGTCCAGGCATTTCTGTGGCGCTCCATGCAAAGAGGTCGGCGTTCTCGCAGAGGCAGGCTTGCAGCTGTCTTTTCGCGAAGTCTGGGAGTCCGGCGCCGATCTTCACGGTTCTGCTCTTGTCTTCCCTGAGTGTGATGATCTCGAATTCTCTGTTTGGGATGGGGCGTGCCGGGTGGGCGGGCTGCCTGTTGGCTTCGTTGGTCTTTATTTCGTGATCGTGCTCCTCGGTGAAGCGACTGTCGAGGTCCACGGATCCGACCAGCTCCTTTGGTTTGCTTTTTGGCGCTATGATTGGAGTCACCCTCTTGGTTGCTGGAGCGATGGTGTCCAAGCCTTTCAGCGCGGCCTCGAAACACCTCCGGGCGGCCTCGATGTCTCCGTTAAGGGTCACCACGGCCCCCCGTTTTGTGTAGTATTTCATCTTCAGGTGGATAGTGGAAGGTACCGCGGTGAGCTCTGCTAACGTTGTTCTGCCCAGGATACAGTTGTAGAGGGACGGGCATTCGATGACTAAGAAACAAATGTTGATCTCCTTGGTCGTTTCCTCTTCTCCGAAAGTGACTTTCAGCTCTACGTACCCCCAAGGTCTCGTCATCGTCCCGTTGAACCCCTGAAGGTCGGAGCCTACGTAGGGGGAAAGGTTGGATTCGTCTAGTTGGAGGGGTGTGAATAGGTGCGTGTACATGATGTCCACCGAGCTGCCCCCGTCGACGAGGATGCGCCTGACGTCGGAGTTCGCCATCCGCGCCCGTACGAGCAGGGGAATGTTGGAGTTGGGGGATCCCCTGGGGAGTTCCTCGAGGTAGAATGTGATCGGATTGGATCGACCGCGGAATCTTTCGAGCGTGCTCATTTTTCCGGAGTTTCTCGTGATAAGCTCGTCGAACCTTCTTTTCACTGATCCTATGGACAGGCTCCCCGTGGCGCCACCCGAGATTACCATGGCTCTGGAGAAGTATTCCCATCGCCTGGTTGGCCGGACATGCTCGCTGGGTAGGTCGGGGTCTTCGGGGAGGCCGAACTCTCTATCCGCGAACCAATCCTCGGGGCGGCTAACACACAGCGCGACCTGGAGTCTGCTGTTGCCGTCAGAAGAGGAGAGTTCCTCGATTTTCTTGGCCTCGGGGGCCTCTTGCCTCGGGGGTTCACCCCCCTGGGTATATCTCTTTAGGTGGCCGTTTTCTCATCGGTATCGTCATGTTGTGGGCTAGCCATGACCGTGGAGTTCTAGTGAAACTTTGGTTTTTTGCTCGGAGTAACGGGGAAGTTTCTGTTCCCACAGACGGCGCCACTGATCTGACCTGATCAGAAGGGGATCACAGGCTGGCCACACTCTGTTGGACGGCTACCTGTTCACCGGTGATGAGGAAGAAAAGGGGGGTGTACCTGCAAGACACTCCGATGCCAAAGTAAGGAATTGGGCAGAGTGAGAGCAAAGTACAGAAAGTGGGTAAGGAGTGAATTACCTGACCCTCTTGAAGAAGATGGTATTTATAGAGAGACCTCAGCGCTGGGCCAACGATCACTTGTGTTGGGCTGGATAACCAGGCCCAACCCATGTGACTGCTAGGGCTTACGTGGCGTAGTGAAGACCAGGACGTGGTCTTCGCCTTAGTCCAACTGTCCCGTGGTCTCCGGAAAGTGGGTTTGACCTGCTCTTTCGGAGGTGGGCAGTTGGGGGAGGACGTGTCCCCGCGGAGGGGAGCACGTGGAGAACGTGCGGCTGGCACGTTGTTCTCCCCGCGGAGGGGAGCTCGTGGGACTCCCTAAGAACACGATGTTCTCCCCGCGGAGGGGAGCTCGTGGGACTCCCTAAGAACACGATGTTCTCCCCGCGGAGGGGAGCTCGTGGGGTTCCCGGGCGGTGTGTGGCTCTCCCCGAAAAGGGGGGGGGAGCACACGAGAACGGGGAGGACGAATCATCATGCCCGTTGGCAAGGGGATTCTGCTCGTGGAAGTTGTTCGGTTCGGCTAGGGGGAGAGCCGAGGGCGCTTCGAAGCGCGTCGTCCTGCTTGACAGGGAGCGTATCCTGCCCGTCCGGCGGGGAGTGTGTGTCTAGTCAAGCTATTCCACTTATTGGGCCTTGTGCGTTATTGGGCTGGACCGCGAGGTTGGGCCCAGGCCAGAACATATATAAATATATATATATATATATATATATATATATATATATATATATATATATATATATATATATATATATATATATATATATATATATATATATATATATATATATATATATATATATATATATATATATATATATATATATATATGTATATATATATATATATATATGGGGCATATCAAGTGAGAGGAATTTTTAAATGAGAGATGAAAGGAACAAACAACAACCATTAGATCATGATTAAACTTATTTATTAATGTGACTATTAATTTCTCTCTCTTATTAACTTGAATTTCATCTCTCTTATTAATTTGATCTAATGGTTCGTGTTTATTACTTTCATCTCTCATTTAAAATCACTCTCATTTGATATGCTTTTATATATATATATATATATATATATATATATATATATATATATATATATATATATATATATATATATATATATATATATATATATATATATATATATATATATATATATATATATATATATATATATATATATATATATATATATATATATATATATATATATATATATATATATATATATATATATATATATATATATATATATATATATATATATATATATATATATATATATATATAAGTAGATTTTGTTCTTATTTGAAACAACTTTCTCTCTTTTATATTAAATTTATTAGATATTATCTGTTATTTTGTTATTCAATTTATGTTGGAATTAAAATTTCTCCAAATTTTATTTGAATTTTTATGGCAAAAATATGTTTGAATCCTTTAAGTTTTTTTTAACAAGTCAATTTTTTATGTTTTTTTTCTTTTACAAACAAGTCCTATTTATTTTTAAATTGTAGAAAAAAAACATAAACAACTGACTTATTATTATAAAATAACTTAAAGACTCAAATATTATTTTTAACAATTTTTATTTTGTTGTTTGTGATTATTATGTTTAGAATATAAATTTAAGGAATGAACTTGTAAAATTGTAAAATTTTAAAATTGTAAAATTGTGTAGAAATTGTGAATTTTTTTAGAGATCTAGTTATTTGATTCGATCGATATAATAATTATAAATTTTATCATATTAATCCGTTTATTCAATCGAATTATTTAATTTAATCGAGTTTAGTTATATATTTTTCTAAATACCTCTCTAATTCTTCCGATGAACCTATGACTACTCAGGACCCTCACCGATTTAAGTATAGATTCTGCTTTAAACACTAGTTCCTTCATTATAATAAATAAGTTCCTAGAAATGTTTAATTTTTTAATCAGACTTGATAAATGAAAACAAAAATGAGTATCATAAATCTCGTTGTTCTAATAACCGCATAGCAGTGGTTCATGCCATTGCCGATGATATCCTCCTTGTTTCGCAACACCAATGTCAATGCTTACCTTATCACATTCACACGTCAAAAACACTCCTTGTTTCATCACCTCAAATCTCCACAAAATCTTCTCCAAACCAAAACCTTACACGCTCTTCTTCTCTTCCTCGGTTTCTTTCACTCATCTTCTCCCCGTAATTCACTTCCTTCACACATCACCAATCTCTATGTCAACTTCGGTTCCTTCCATTACGCTTTTCTCTCGTTCACTCAACTCCCCCACAAGTCCAACCTCGCTTGGAATTCCATTCTCCGAGCTCTTATTGGTTCTAGCCACTTCACCGTAGCAATTCAGTTCTATCACTCCATGATAAGACATGGTGTCACCCCCGATAATTACACGTTCCCACTTGTCCTTAAAGCTTGTTCTTCTTTACACGCTCTTCAAATTGGAAGATGGGTTTACCATACCATCCTCTCTAACGTAGAAAAGCCTAATCTTTTTGTTCAGTGTGCTTTGATTGATATGTTTGTTAAATGTGGAAGCTTGGAAGATGCACGTAAGGTGTTTGATGAAATGCCGGTGAGAGACTTGGCTTCTTGGACTGCGTTGATTTGTGGAACTGTGAGGAATGGTGATTGGCTTGAAGGGCTTTCTTTGTTTAGAAATATGAGATCGGAAGGTATGAACACTGATTCGGTTATTGTTGCGTCTGTGTTACCCGTTTGTGGCAGGTTAATGGATGGTTTGAAATTGGGGATGGCACTGCAAGGATGTAGTTTGAGAAGTGGCTTTGACAGTGATTTGTATGTCTCTAATGCTATCATTGACATGTATTGTAAATGTGGTTATCCACTTGAGGGGGACCGCGTATTTAGTTATATGGTTTGTAGAGATACTGTTTCTTGGAGTACCTTGATTGCTGGTTACTCACAAAATGGCATGTACCAAGAGAGCTTTGAACTGTATGTTAGAATGGTGAATATGGGTTTAAGAACAAACGAGGTTATTGTTACTAGCGTTCTTCCTGCTTTGGGAAAACTCAAGTTGTTGAAACAGGGGAAGGAGATGCATAACTTTGTTCTTAAAGAAGGACTTTTAACTGATGTAGTTGTTGGAAGCGCATTGATTGATATGTATGCTAACTGTGGGTCAATCAAGGAAGCGGCGTCAATATTTGAATACATGTCAGATAAAGATATCATGGTATGGAATTCACTAATTGTTGGGTATAATCTAGTTGGTGATTTTCAGTCAGCATTTTTTACCTTAAGAGAAATTTGGGTAGCTGAACATAGGCCAAATTATATAACTTTAGTGAGTGTTCTTCCTATGTGCACTCAATTAGGAGCTCTTAGACAGGGAAAGGAAATCCATGGTTATGCAACCAAAAGTGGTCTGGGATTAAATCTTTCTGTTGGAAATTCTCTAATAGATATGTACAGCAAATGTGGATTTTTAGAACTCGGAGTGAAAGTCTTTAACCAAATGATGGTAAAGAATGTAATAACATATAACACTATGATATCTGCTTGTGGAGCTCATGGCCTAGGAGAAAAGGGTTTGGCATTCTACGAGCAAATGAAGAAAGCGGGAATTAAACCAAATAAAGTCACTTTTATTTCACTGTTATCTGCGTGTAGTCATGCAGGTCTTGTTGAAAGAGGTTGGATGTTATATAATTCAATGATTAATGATTATGGCATTAAGCCAGATATGGAACACTACTCGTGTATGGTGGATCTCATTGGAAGAACTGGTGATCTTGATGGTGCATACAAGTTCATCACAAGCATGCCTGTGACCCCAGATGCCAATGTTTTGGGAAGCTTACTTGGTGCGTGTCGACTTCACAACAAAGTGGAGCTGGCTGAGCTCCTTGCAAAGCATATTTTCCAATTAAACAATAAAGATTCAGGACACTATGTTCTTCTATCAAATTTATATGCCTCTGGGAAACGATGGGAAGACATGTCAAAGGTGAGAAGCTTGATAAAGGATAAAGGGTTGGAGAAAAAACCAGGAAGTAGCTGGATTCAGGTGGGCCGTCGCATTTTCGTCTTCCATGCTACGAGTATCTTTCATCCAGAACTTGCCAAGATTGAAGAAACTCTGGAAAGCTTATTCTTGGTGATGAAAAGTGAAGATTATATGCTGGATAATCTGGGATTTTGTTCCCATGTTAATGACCAAAATTTAACTTAAAATGAAATCCTTAAATATTAACATTTTATAATATATGCTCTCGAGTGATATAAGTTAAAGTTGTCAAAAGAGTAGTACAAGTGCTCTCTTCAGGCTTCATTGAATCATCAACTTCATCCGTGCTTCAATTCAGAAAAGCATGCAAATTGAACAATCAGAACCTTGCTGCTCAATTTTATAAGCAAATCACACTATCTGCGTGCGCGCACACACAATTTTCCTGTTCATTATCTTGTTTTCTTTATGGTTGTGGAAAATAAAAGGATGATAATGTACAACTAGTGATGAAGGGTGACCTGACTCAGCTCTTGGTTTGTTGCATATTCAACTTGAGAGGGATACTGAGAAGCTATAAATCACGAGTTTAGTCATAATGTGATGAGCTTCGAGTCAGGTTCAACTTATGATTCGAATCAAATCACACAGAAGAAAATCATATAATGTACATGATTTGAATCAAACAATTAATCAGCTTAATTCAAGTGCTCTAACTTGTGCTTCAAAAAGGATCATAAACAAACATTTTAATTTATTGCATAATAAGGGGACTTAAGGTACAATTCAAAATAGCCGAAGCGAACATAATACAACTCAAATGTGAAAGAATTATAAACATGTGAATATTCAAATAATGAACAAATTGCAAACACGCCAATAATAAAATAACATACACGCAAATTGACAAAAACATCAAAACTAAATAATGATATCATACGATAACGTGACTGCAATTTCATTCTTTTTGATGTTTGGCAAAGTAGGAGGTATTATTGTTGATCAATTTGATTTGAGCGTTTATTTGAAATTTAAAGAAAAATAAATCCGATGAATTTCCTTAGCGCACTATAGTTGAACGTACAACATGTTGCTTGAGCTCTAATGCTCCCCCTGCATTAAACGTTCAATATCCATAAATATCGATAATATCTTTGATAACTTCGCCCCTTTAACCAATATCAAAATGAGAAAAGAAAAAAAAAAGAACACGCAAACAACTAAACCCATGGTAACGTAAAAGCCAATAATAGAAATGTCACACTAGTTAACTAAAGCACCGCATAAATTGCATGTGATACCAACTGTCGCAAACAACACAATTTCAGAAAATAATATAGATAAAAGAGATATAGCATAGTGAAACCAAAAAAAAAAAAAAACTCAAAACACATGGCTAAAAATTGCCACTAGTACATAACCAAAAGATATAATGGCAAACAACATTCAAAATAGCATCGGACAATATCCAAAATAATAATAATTATCAAAATGTAAATGTCATGTTATGCAATGCATGAAAGGAGTAAGTTATGGTAAGCTGCAGGATAAGGAGTGGGAGCAAGAACTGTAGTATCAATGTTGAAAACAAAAGCGGAATTGTGAATGTATCCAATGGCATCTTTCAATATATCATTTTCATTCATGAATCTCGCCTCACTTGCTTTTGTCTTTATGTATCTTCTTTATTCATTTTCCACAGTTTTAATCTGGCTCATAATCCGGTCTTCACATACTTGATTATCAACTAAGATCTTATCAAACCAATCATCAAAACACACTTTTGTGTCATCAGGTAATAATCCAGCAAATGATGAACTAGTTTCGTCAGTGGAACTTGCTCTCTTCTTCTTCTTCTTTGTGTAAGGACAGGTTTTGGTTCTACATCTGTGCTTAATTTTTTATGATAACTTCACATGTTATCTTAGAGAACAATTTTATATTCTAATGATTTTTGTCTAGTGTGTAGTTTTTGCTAAATAGATTCTGACTCTGAAAAAAATACATGTTACGCCATTAGGCTCTGAACTCAACACTCTAGAAGAAAACATATGGTGTTTACAGATTCAAATCAAGATTCTGGAATGTTTTTGATACAATGGTTCTAAAAAACGTTAGTACTAGAGCTTCTGATCATGATTTCTTATGACAATTCTGAAGACTCTAAAGACTCAAGTTCTGATGATTCTGAAGACTCTGAAGACTCAAGTTCCGAAGACTCTGATAATTTAAGTTCTGAAGACTCTGAAGATAAGTTCCGTTGAACAAGTTCTAAAGATTCTGAAGACATCACTTCTAGTGACTTAGATTCTGAAGACTCGATTTTTATCCTTCTGTAACATACTTAGTCAACATATATCAGAAGCTCTGAAGAATAGAAGTTAAAGATCATAAATGGTTTGCGTGAAAGGATAAACATAAAAGTACAAAGTACACTGACCACTATCCTGCTAAAGTGACACAAGGATAATTCTTTTGATACAATGTTGTCTGACTCTTCTACAATGACCGTTGAGGACAAAACAACTGGATTTCTATTTCCTATTATACCCTCCAATTTTCAACTATAAAAGGAAGACTTGGAAGAATTGGATAGCTAGCAATCTGCTCTACAAAACTTATACTAAAACGCTGCACAAATCTCATGTGAGATATACTTAATATAGTTTTGTAAATCAGTAAGGAACTTTTGTTCATATCTTGCTATTAACATTGTTGTGTAATTGTGCTTAAATTTTGTTTAATCGACTTTTGTAGAAGCATTCTTGTATACACACCTATAATCACTTTGGATTTATGTTTCCTCAAGTGACTAAGTGATAGTCTGAATACTTGAGAGGGCTAAGGTGTATCTCTAAACACTTAGACGAACTTGTTGTAATCTTTCAAGATTAGTGAATTAAGTCCTTTTTGAAGGCGAAATCACCTTGGCGGGTGGACTGTAGTAACTTAGTTAACAGTGAACCAGGATAAAAATAATGTGTTCATTATTTTCATTCACTTGTTAAATTTGGTATAATAAGTTTGAAAAGTCTATATTTGGTAAAATCCAATTCAAACTCCCCTTTCTTATGTTTCTCGCACCTTCACTTTGGTTTGAAAATCTCATCCTCGTAAACCCAGCTACCATCAGTGTGTAAGTAGTAGTATTCCTTGTTCTTATCTTAGTAATGCGAAATTAAACTGATTGCAATTGAATCAACATGATTTGGTGCCTTGACCAATACCATATCAGTGGATGTGATACCAATTCAAAGATGAACTGAATGAAAGAGGAAAAGAACAAAGACGTCTTCAGAGAGGGCCTATAATGCTCAATTCTTTAAAGAATAAAATTGACCCAATTAAAACAAGCATCTCTCAGAAGAACCCACGTCAAATAACGGTCTTAGTCATCAGTATTTGCTCTGTTACAAGGCTTCCTGTACAACATTTTCACAACGATCCAATGAAGAATCTTCCTTTCAAAATTTATTTGTCTTATGTTGAAATTTTCCATATCCAACCAATAACCAAAAATTGACTTGGATATACTCTTAACCAGATGAATTTTAACAAAATCAGGGGCATTTGAGATGCAAACTTCATTTCCTTTTGACCATAGTCCAAAATGAATGTCAAAATCTTTCTTTGTAAATTTAATAACCTTGTTGTGAAATTGGCATTCCAAACCATCAGAAGTCACAGTCAAGTTACAATAAAGATATTTGATAAGGTTCTGGTCAAATTTTTTGTCCAGAATCTTCAACAAACTATGTTCCTCTAATGGGGCCATAAATTTTACACCTAACTCAATCTTAGCCAACTTGTTCACAAAATACTCATACTCAACAAGTTTGTTAAGCAACTCATTTGCATACCTTTGAAGTTTGTCATTGTAACACCCTCCTAAACCCCACGGAAAACATATGAATAATCAGAGTAAATTGTCATGCATTTACAAAAGGGTGTCACACATAAATTCCAAAACATCAAAATCACCTGTCATGCTCATTAACATTTCAATGTAAAATCATGCTTTACAAAATTTTACTTTGCATGTAGCAGCGGATTCATTTTATAACATAATACCCCTAACGGAAACATCAGTGTTCATCACATAAACCAACATCGTTTGGGCACTAAGGCCAACATCATAATATCTCAATAATATGAAAACATAGTATATCACTACAATATAAACCAAGCGATCCCAATGTTACATGACCAGAGCATGACTCAATCCAACATAATCAATTACTAAACAACTACGCCAAAAGCAACCTCGCAATTACAAGCAGTACTACTCCTTGATACTTGCACGATGTCATGTAGGACATCATTCCAGCAGAAGGGTGAGAAATATTACCATAATAATCAATGCATATAATCATATATAAATGCACAATTATCAGAATACATATATTCCACATTTTCTCACCACAATTCATTACAATCATCATATACATCGCAACATGTGTATAAACAAATATGGATAATTCACTCAAGTATTTTTCATTATGCAGACATTCATACAACAATCACATATACCATAAGACTCATATAAACTCATCAATTCATGCTTGTAAGCATACTTCCATACAATAATCATGTATTCACAATTCTCATTTACACACGTCATACACATACGCATTTTTCACAATTCTCACTATACTTCATCATAACCCATCATATACTTCATAAAGCATATATACACAAACAAATATGGACAATCATAAAACATGTTTCATCATGCACACATCCATAATCCATAATTTCCACACACAAGCATATTTCATATAACAATGGCATTCATGCTATGTGACTCAATACAACTTAATGCAAACTCATGGCATGTGGTACCAACACTTGTTATCTTTTTTCGGTTTACAATAAACCGGGTCCACTCTTCTAGACCGATAACCACCAAAAGCCCGTCCTCTAAGCTTTCAAACCCACTCTTCTAGGCTTGGGACAAGTCACTAGTCTCCACGAAACTAGCAAGCATTGCCTCTTGACTAAATGATGCATATGCAATCAACAACAAAATGCACTTAAGACCGACATCTTAATCTCATGCATTCAAATAATTCCTCTCTTCAAGAATTATAACATGATTGCACACACAACATATTCACATCATTCAAGTATTCATACTTTAAATCATCATATTTATCAAGCAATGCACACATATTCACAATATGTTCTCATGCACTCTTAACACATAAACACAAGCAATGCACACA